CCCCCCCCCGCCCAGCGGCCTCCCTCCCCCGACCCGGCTGCGCAGCCGGGCCCGGGCGCACACTCCCGGGGTAGAATGATGGCTTGCTTGGGGGGCACCCCACCTCGCCCCCGCCCTCCCCCCTCGGTCCCAGCAGGAGAACCGCCCTTTGACCAACTGGACCTCGGGGCGCCCGCAGGAGAGAGGGGGGGGGGGGAAGAGACGGGGCGGAGCCTAGGGCGGGGTCAAAAAAATGCCCCCCCCCCCCCGCCCGGTGAGTAAGACCCAGGAACATCCCGCGGAGAAGGAGTCAGACAGTGGTCGCCTTGCCCGGGCTCCCCTTACACACTCACGCACGATGCCCCCTCCCGGGCGCCACATGCACCAGGGACAGGAAGCCCCCCCCCCCCCGAGTGCCGCGCCAATACCGTGCCGCATGGACTGGAGGAGGAGCCCATGCCCGTTTCCCCGCCCCCCCCCCCGCCCCCGGGTCCAGGCCAGACAACCGCCCCGGGTGCCAGTCCAAACACCAAGGGGTGCCGCGCAGAGTCGGCCAACAGGGCTGAGGATACATGTGTGCGCCCCCCCCCCTCCCCCCTCGGCCCCGGCCCCGGCCCGGCCCCCGCGCGGGGCGCGTGTCCCCCCTCCTCCCCGCCCCCCCCCCCGGCGAGTCTCTCCCCCCCCCCCCCCCCCCAGGCCCCGGATGAGTCCAAGCCCCGAGGTGGATCGCATGCCGAGACGGCTGTTCCGCCGGCGGCAACGCCAGCGCCGGCGCCGCGCTGGTCATTCCCCAGCGCCGGATCCCCGACCGCAGGCACCCTATACAGCCACGCTCGTTGACGCCTTGCGCTTTCACCGGGACTCGCTGGACGCGGCATTGAAGCAGATCCCCCCAGGGCTGTCCCCGGCCCGGGGCCCTGGACGGGCCACCATCGCCTTGTCCTTCCTCGCGGTGCGCGGGCATGCCGGCTGCCTCGGGCCCGGTGAGGCCGGCTGCCCAACGTGTGCCCTGGTAGCATGGCATCAAGATAATGTGTCCCGAGGTGCAGCCATGGCCGCGGCCCGACGGCGTTTGCGCAACCGAGCCCCCCACTTTCTCCTTCATCGTGGGCTTCTCCGCCGGCGACGTTTCGAACGGCGCCAGGCCCGGCGCCTGGCGCGGGCTGCCAGCCGGTTGGCCGCCGCTTCCGCCCTCGCGCCAGGTCCCGCCCGGCCAGCCGCAGCGAGCCCTGCCAGGCGTCTTTCCGCGGGTCCCGCGTCCCCGGCCGTTGGACGAGCCGCGATCCGATCACTCCGCCGGCCCGCGCGCGGCCCGGGGAAACCAACGCGTCAGGGCCAAAAAGAAACCCTGCACAAGGCCCGCCGCCGTTCTCGACCAGCCAACACCGTTGGCCCGCGCAAGCGCATCCGCCTGGACACAACACAATAGAATCAGCTGCCAACCCATGGCGCCGACATGGACGCCCGTTCGCGCCACGGTGCGCCGGCACCTTGTGAGGCCGGATTTGCCTCCCTCCAGCCCAGGGGGGAGGGGGCCGCACACATGTTGTCCGCCCCCCTCTCGGGGTGTATTCCCCAATCTGGCGGCAAGGCGGGCGGCGGCGAGTGTCTCTCTCATGTGGGGCCCTCCTGGGCATGGTTGTGGGTCTCGTTGGGAGTCGAGCGGCGGG